TGTTGTTGTTGTTGTTGTTGTTGCAATCTTTAAGGCATACACTGACAAAAAAGGATTTCGCCATGGTGTCAGTACTTTTTGCTATATCTTCTTGGAGATGATGATGATGATGATGATGATGATGATGATGATGATGATGATGATGATGATGATGATGATGCAAATAGACACATACAAGCAGACACATACATGCACACACACACACACACAGACCTAGATGATCAGAGAACAGGCCGCCTTATCGGAAGTAGGTCACGGGGGGAAAGAGGCCAAGCGCAGACAACGTGTAGTGCAGGAGTGAGAGGGTGAGAGGGTGAGAGAGCATCACGCCGTGTGCTTGATTCAACAACTGTCCAAAATTAGGGCATTTGCGGTGTATTGTTTCTTTAACGTAATTATTACTTTGGAAAGGACATTGGAAATATGTATTAATGCTTTACTAGGAAAAATACCAACACTTACATCATAGTAAGAGAACATCTTATAGTGGAGATGAATGGAGAGAGAGACAGGCGGTCGTACAAGTGTAAAGGAAAGAATTGTAGTAACTATGTGGCGTGTTTATTAAACGGTAAACATAAATAGAACAATATTTAGAATGTTGATCAAGCAAGGCTTTACAATCTTGCAAGCACATGCCACAAACAAAAACAAATAGAAAACAGGCAATAATATATATAATATATACTTACGTACATATAGGTAGTTAGAAAACAACACACATTCCACTGGAAACATTTACACAAACAACACTAGACAGTCGCCCATTTCTTGGGCAGTTCAAAAGAACAATTTATCTCAAAACATTCAAATTTCCAGTCATTTCTCTCTTCTGACCAAACAAAACGCAGCAATTCCGTGCGTTGACTCTCCCGACTCTCCCGACTCTCCCGACTCTCCCGACTCTCCCGACTCTCCCGACTCTACCGACTCTCCCGATTTATTGATTTCAGGAAAACTGCCCCCGTGGGATTAGGCGATGTTTGGCGTAATTCTGCAACATTTACATACTTTTGGATTCTCCGCGTTTTTTCACGTTTTTTTCCTTTTTCTTTCACAAACAATGAATGAACGCCTCGCCATGAGACTAAGGGGAAGTAATCACCGCTATAAGTCTCATTTAAGTGAAAAGTTGGTTATTTCCCGAGGTAGAAGATCTTGGTTATGGGTTGTGATTTTGTTCCTTGAGCTGTTCAATTTTTCAATCCATCAGAAGTTGTTGTTCTCAGGTCTGCTGATGCTTCATGTTTGACAGGTGTCCCTGGTTTTTATAATGTGCCAGCATCAGAGGTCCAGGTGTCCTTTTTTAATTTATTTTTTAAAACATTTTTCTTTCCTCTATAGATCTAGAACTAGAAAAATCTAGATCTACAGCTGAAAGTTACAGAGATGATTATTTTTGGTTGTTTTTTGGTTTATTTTTGTTACTGATACTGATAGTGTTACTGTTTTCAATTTTTCTGTACATAAAACATGAAAATCATGAAACTTCTCGTTGAAAAAGTGCAAAACATGTCGCAAATGGTGTTATGGTAACTTGCATAAGTTTTGCATAATTTTGCTTTTTTGTGCATAATTTGGCCTTCTAAATTTGCATAATTCTACGGGGTCAGGGAAAAGGTGGTAGACTCTTTGAAGTGATCTGTATGATTCAAAAGAGATGGAAACACCAGTAGAGGAACTATTAACTTGAAAATAGACTGAAACTTTTGGAATAGCACCATCTCTTTCTTTACTAAAGAATGCATACTGTGACAGTTCCTCATCGGAGGCAACTATTCCATGTTTCCAGAGTATTTATATGAACTGATCGTCAAATGCATGTTATTTCATCAATGTCCATAGCACGACATCTGTAGTTGGTCGGGGCTTACTTCGGGATAACACGTAACATACGATTGTCAGCACTTGGAAAAGTGTTGGAGGTACTGCTGGACGATGGCCTCTTCCAGGTTGTATGTTCTATTTTGTACTTTTTCAGGCCAGTGCAAGGTACAGCTATACAATCAGTGACACCCTCTACTTCCAATTATTAGGCAAACTCGCCACCCAAGCTTTGCTTTCTCGATGTCTTTAGGAAATTTGTAGACTGCCACCTTCTGATCCCCAGACCGATTTCTATCCAGATCTACAATTATCGTTCACAGAACATTTCTTCCCATGTTTACAAGTAAAGTGTAGCCTAGTTCAAATTACTTTCATTCTAAGAACTCACATTCTTATCTACTATTTTCATCTTTCACGGCAGAATTTGTACTGCATCGTGTTGTAATAGAAAAGAAAGTACGTGAAACAAAAGAAAATATTACATGTACAATAAGTCCTGATAGACACACTGCATCACTGAATAAGATAACGAGATCATGTATGTGCGTTAATTGTGTTGGTTCAAATTATATTTACTGTTATCACCGCTTTTCAATGAAACTCTACGTCATGTCTATATCTATCCTGTCTCACTCCTCGGACTCGTCGCCATCTTGATCAACAGCAGAGGTTGAAATAAACGGTGCTAGTTCCAGCAGCTACTTAATCCCACAATTAAAGAAAGCACCACTGATATTGTTTGGATAAAACAAGAGTAGAAGGTAACAATCATAGACAGAATAATGTACAAGTACTCCAACAAGTTATACACGGGTGAAAATAATCCAGAAAAAAGGAGCAGAAATTCAGAAAACAACGCACACAAAATATGGAGGTGGTAAAAACACAACAACACAACAACACAACAACACAACAACACACAACACACAACACAACAACACAACACAACAACACACAACACAACAACACAACAACACAACAACACAACAACACAACAACACAACACAACAACACACAACACACAACACACAACACACAACACAACAACACAACACAACAACACAACACAACAACACACAACACAACAACACAACAACACAACAACACAACAACACAACAACACAACACAACAACACACAACACACAACACACAACACACAACACAACAACACAACACAACAACACAACACAACAACACACAACACAACAACACAA